ACAAACGCCATGTTGTTTCTTTTTTTACTACTGCTGTCTTTTCTCAAATAATTATTTTTCCAATTATCGGAATTCTAGTCATCTGAATAATGGATTCCCCCAGATTTGAAAGTTCAGGCCTACCTTATACTGTAATTCTGTTAACTACACCTTCGTAATTCCAAATCTTACAACTCCTTCCGCAATACGCCTATTTCTTCGTTAATTAGTTATACAAGCCACAAAGAGCGTATCTTATTCCGAAAAGACGAGTTATCAGCTTTGCTCAAGAGTAGTTTTGATTAACTTTGTGGTTCTACCTAATAATTCCAATGACTGGTCCTTTGTTCGGTGGCGTTTACTTACCATTAAGTATATTATTAATTTATTATTTTGAAAATTTACTCTTTTCTTGTACAAACTTGTTCGATATCTATAATTGGTCGAAACCATATTTAAACTTTTATTATATTAAAAAATAAGTTTAATTAATTGTCAAAATTCTCATTTATATCCTCACCAAAATCGAGAAATAACATGTGCTAGAACATCACAGTTTACAAAACTATCATGATTCCCAAATATATTTCCAGCAAATTTGAGAATAACTCGCACTAGAAGAACACCATAGGATGAATAGCACTCTGAAGACCAATTATTTTGTTCTAAATGACTTCGATTATAGACCCACCTGCTCGATTGAACATGGTGCAGGATTTTATTTTCATTTTCATTTCTCTCCTTGGCACCTTAGTCCAAATTAATAAAGAAAGAAAAAGGAAAATTCATTGCGTTTGCCGGGAGTCGAACCCGGGTCTATTGCTTGGAAGGCAATTATCCTAACCGTTGGACTACAAACGCCTTGTTTCTTTTCGAACTACTGCTATCTTTTCTCAAATAGTTCTTTTTCCAATTATCAGAATTATAGTCATTTGAATAATGGATTCCAATTCACCCCTATCTTATACTGTAAATCTGTAACTACACCTTCGTAATTCCAAATCTTACAACTCCTTCCGCAATACATCTATCTCTTCATTAATTAGTTATACAAGTCCAAAATAGCGTATCTTATTCCGAAAAGATGAGTTATCAGCTTTGCTCAGAGGTGTTTTGAATAACTTTGTGGTTCTACCTACTAATTCCAATTACTAGTCCATTGTTAAGTGGCGTTTACTTACCATTAAGTATATTATTAATTTATTATTTTCAAAATTTAATCTAATAAAGATTCCTTCTTGTACATAACCCTCATCCACAATCATATGCCTTTTTCCATCTTTTGCCATATCTTCAACTACCCATAAATTATCATTTTTTTTAATGAACTCCTTGATAATAAAACTAAAATTTAATGAATCAACATGACTTTATATAGTCAAATTTAAATTAGTCCTCAACACAATTTAAATAATGTGTAACAAAAACAATTAGTTACATGCTAAAGGATTGACTTATCCACACGCTATTTTACCTTCTATGACAAAGTCAAATTAACTTCTTGAAGATACTTGTATAGATCTTATTCCATGTATACGTACATACGCACGTAATTTGTGGCTTTTAATCTACTAGGTGTCCTTTGTAGTTCGAGTCAATATTAATGAAAAATTGTAGAGAAGAAAACTATGATCATAAGTGTAGTATTGATGGGGTGTGTATCACACTTCAAAGAAAACATTTTTCGAAAAGAAAAGAAAGTAGTATGAACTAAAGTACAAAAAGGCATCAAAAGAACAATACTTCTTTATGTTAAGGATTATTTCATCACCAAACTAGAGATTCTTAAATGTCAGCACAATGACAGAAATTATAATTTATTTTTTATCAGAGTCAGTGCCTAACAATTTGGCTTGTATTCAAATGTAATAAAATATACAGTTCTGGGCAGTAGTGCTAAATATTTTGGGTTTTACTATTTGTACACCCGGTTGACATCCGGTGTGCACCCCTCTCACAATAGGGGGAGCTCGGACTGTATATCGGATGTGCAAAACCCGAATATTCTTATTTTAATAAATTTTGAGGACAGCTTTGTTTGGCCTCACATGGACACATACTGAAGTTGGATGCGTGTATCTTTGCATTTATTTTTAGGGTTTTTATTTATAAAAAATGTTATTATTATAGTAATTAAGTTGACCATGGACCGACAAATCTTCTTAGGATTCAATGGGATTTTAGTACACATTGGGGGTCGGGGGGTGGTAGATGATCATGAATCAGATCAATTTCAGACAGTTTAAAAATCTTGATTATGGTTGATATGAAATTATAATGCTAATTACTTGATTGCATGATTGGCAAAATGATATGAACATAATCAAGATCAATTACATTTTATTATAATTTACAAGGGGTTTTGAGCTAATTAAGTTAATAATAACTCATTATGATGTTAGCGTAAAATTTCGTACGTGGTTTCCCCTTGGAAACAAAGAAGGTACTAACCCTCGTCACCGTAGTTCATAAATGGCCACATTCTAGTACTACGATCCCTCACATTGCAATCTCGATGGACTCGTGCCTTGTGATTTTATGATTTGCGTGTATAATGAATGATATTAAACCGCTCACTATTAAAACTAGTTCACGTCAAGAAAAATATAATACCAATCAAATTTACACCTCTAAAATGAAGTAAGCTCGAAACATCGAGGAGCACCGTCTGGTAGGGTACAATAATAGGAGTGACTCTAAACATAGAAAATCAACATAAATTTTATGAAATTGTCAACCAGAAATCAATTCCTTCTAGAAGGGAGACAGATCACCTTTGCAATTAAGGCAGTTTATTGAAGTTTATTCGATATTTCAACTATGCATGACCTGTTGTACCTCAACTCCACAGATATATCTGACTTTGAAGCATTAAAAATTATTTCTTTCTAAGAATTCATCAAATATTGTATTTCTCTTTCCTTGTGTTCTGGACATTTTGACCTTTCTCTAATATTTCAATTTTAATTTTTTTGCCTCAATTTTCTTGCGAAATTCAAATGAAAGAGAAAAGGGTTGTTAAAATTAAGTCTTAAGAAATAAAAATAAGCAATTATCACAGCCAAATTCCAGCAAAAGTTCCATAGAATTTATATTTTTTTAGAACCCTAAATTGCAGACGAAGAAATAACAAATACAATTACTAATCAGAAATACTGAACTGCTATGCATGTGCATTACAGCTATTTCTATCTACACAAATCTGATCTTGGACAGAACATATCCCTCCTAATTCGAGTTTGTTCAGGAGACATACTAAAAATACTGAGATTTTTGCATCATTTGAGAATACCATAAAATTCATTAACTTTATTTTATGAGGAAGTACCACGTTCATGTAGTCCGTGCCGTATGTTGGATTAAAGAGTACTTTGACTGGTTTAAAGGCACGTCTCACTAAGCTTAAGAAAAAGAGAGACCGTAAAAACAAAAGTAACTTTCAAACTGCCTCAAACATATGTCGTGCAGAAAAAAGTTACTTAAAAGTAATTTATAATCTTGTTTGGTATTTAGTGTAGGACTATCTAATACCGTGTATCAAACCTGCACGAACAGGCAAGCAGGCAAACTAGACAGAAGTAGGTGAAATGGAAGCATATTCAGACAGCAATAGATGATTGATACGCAATAACTAAGTGCAAGACACAGAAAAGTGGGCATCCAGAGTTATTTGATTGAGGTCTTATTGCAATTACATCAATCCTGACATCACCCACAACAATTGTCCTCTTGTACTTCAAATGCTATAATATTCCTCAAGAATTGAATCCCTTAAAAATTCAACTCGATGCTAACAAAAGGAACAAAAGTGAGTATAAAGAGAAAGACTGGCATAGCATAATTGATCCATTTTAGTTTCACCTTTTGTACCAGCCCCAGGTGGCAAAGAGCCAACATGGAGGTGTTAAACCTTTCCCAATCTTACTCTTGGGGACGGAGTTATTCCATTTTCAGTTGATCATTTCATTGAAAACTGTAGCTTAATGAAACAATGACAGAAGGTAGTGAAGGATTTCGGGTCAGCAGTGCACGTATGAGTGCAAGATTAAGTAGTTCAAACATATGGAGAAACAGTGGGAGGGAAATTTTTTCGAGATCATCATTGGAGGCAGATGATGAAGAAGCACTGAAATGGGCTGCTCTAGAGAAACTCCCGACATATCTTCGAGTAAGGAGAGGGATACTTACAGAAGAAGGGGGACAACCAAGAGAAATTGATATAACAAATCTTGGACTAGTAGAGAGAAAAAATCTTGTGGAGAGGCTATTGAACATTGCAGAGGAAGACAATGAGAAGTTCTTGTTAAAACTGAAAAAACGCATTGACAGGTAATTTCAACAGGAATAACTAAATTTTGCATATCTTTTGTTCTCTAAATTAGAATTTTTAGCTTGACGAAGTTTATTTAATTGATCCAGAGTTGGTCTTAATCTTCCAACTATAGAAGTTCGGTTCGAGCATTTAAATGTTGATGCAGAAGCTTATGTTGGCAGCAGAGCTTTGCCTACAATATTCAACTTCACTGTTAATATGTTGGAGGTGATTAATCTTTTTGAGTTCTTATATTCATATTGCAAAATGAAGTTTCTCTGGATTCTCAATCTTTTATCTTGTCTGTTTTTACTTCTGTACAGGGTTTTTTTAGTTATCTTCATATTCTCCCAAGTCCAAAGAAACCATTGCCAATTCTTCATGACGTCAATGGAATCATCAAGCCTGGAAGGTGAGCAGATAGTACTATCTAAATGGTCATCCCTGTCAACCTACCCTCTCTATTTTTTTTTCTTTTCCATGCCCTACACCGAAGAACATCTGGGACCTAAATCAGGTTATCTGGTTTGCAGAATGACATTGCTTTTAGGGCCACCAACTTCTGGCAAAACTACATTGCTGTTAGCATTGGCAGGGAAACTTGACACGCAATTAAAAGTAAGGAAACATGTACCTTTGTATGTTCTGATTTTGAAGAAATTTAAATTCGAGGGATAAGAGAATCTTTTTCCTCCCACTGAAAACTTAATACTTGCTGAGTCCACAGGCATCAGGAAGAGTAACATACAACGGTCGTGAAATGCACGAGTTCGTACCACAAAGAACATCAGCTTATATAAGTCAGCATGACCTGCACATAGGAGAATTGACAGTTAGAGAAACATTAGCATTTTCAGCAAGATGCCAAGGAGTTGGAGATCGTTATGGTCAGTAACGATTTCAGTTACTTTGGCATGTTTGGTAGAGGGATTGCATGGCAGTAGGAAGAAAAAGAAGCTAAAATTTTATTCATTTTATTGTAGAGCCCCGAGCACCGAACATGCATATAATGCTGGTATTCCACAGATGAGTATGACTGAATTGTTTGTTTGAAAATTGCAGCTATGTTGAAAGAATTATCAAGAAGAGAAAAGGAGGCAAATATTAAGCCGGATCCTGATATTGATATTTTCATGAAGGTCAAAATATCTCCAGAGACGATCTTTTCTCTTCACTGACAATTCATTTCCTTGTATAAAGTCTTTTAATACAATCTATCGTCATGCAGGCAGCATCAATTGAAGGGCAGGAGTCAAGTGTTGTAACAGATTACATTATCAAGGTAACCACTCAACAAATTTGTCGAAGCTAGTTATAGAATAGATGAAAAAATGTAAGTAAAACTCTCTTAACTTCTATATCTAAATTTCAGATCTTGGGGCTTGAAGTTTGTGCGGATACCTTGGTTGGAGATGAAATGGTTCGCGGGATTTCAGGAGGACAGCGAAAGAGACTGACAACAGGTAATAACATGAATATATTCATACTAAAAGCATTGATCAGTCCACAAGAAATCATAAAGTTTCATTTGTTCAAAATCAATTGTAATTCAGGGGAAATGATGGTCGGACCGTCGAGAGCACTTTTCATGGATGAGATATCGACTGGTTTGGACAGTTCAACGACTTACCAGATAGTAAATTCAATAAGGCAGTCTATCCACATTCTTCAAGGAACTGCTATAATCTCACTCCTGCAGCCTGCACCGGAAACATACGACTTATTTGATGACATAGTTCTTTTATCAGATGGACAAATTGTGTATCAAGGTCCCCGTGAAAATGTACTAGAATTCTTCGAGTATATGGGATTCAGATGCCCCGAGAGAAAAGGAGTAGCAGATTTTCTTCAAGAAGTAAATCTAATCTCTACATCCCCTTTTTTGGCTGGATATCCTTAAAAGTGATTGAAAAAGTTACTGACTGCTTTTAATAATAGGTGACATCAAGGAAAGATCAAGGGCAGTATCGGGCACGTAGAGATGAACCTTATTCTTATGTTTCTGCCAAAGAATTTTCTGAAGCATTTCAGTCTTTCCATGTTGGACGGAAACTTGGCGATGAACTTTCCATTCCTTTCGACAAGGAAAAGAATCATCCAGCTGCCCTAACCACAAAAAAATACGGTGTTAACAAGAAGGAACTTTTACGAGCGTGCATATCCAGAGAGTACCTTCTTATGAAGAGGAATTCATTTGTCTACATATTCAAGATGATTCAAGTGAGTCCCATACAATAATCCCATGATCTTATCCACCTTTATGAAAAGAATTCAAAAGGCCATTCAAATAAATTGACTAACGGTTGCAATTCACATTTCCAGCTTATCCTTATGGCTAGCATATCCATGACGGTATTTCTACGCATCAAGATGCCCAAGAATACAGTAACGGATGGTGGGATTTTCATGGGTGCTCTCTTTTATGCAGTTATTATGATTATGTTTAATGGATTTTCAGAGCTTGCCCTCAGTATTATGAAACTTCCGGTCTTTTACAAGCAACGGGACCTTCTCTTTTTTCCTCCATGGGCATACTCTTTGCCTGCGTGGATTCTGAAAATTCCAGTCACACTTGTTGAAGTTGCAATTTGGGTGTTTCTGACTTATTATACTTCAGGATTTGATTCTGATGCAGGAAGGTAATAACTAATTCATTGAAACTCATTTACGAGCATAAATATTTCAGTTTCCTGATTTGGTTAATGCATGAAATCGCAGGTTTTTCAAACAAATACTACTGCTCATATGTGTTAACCAGATGGCATCTGCACTCTTCCGTTTCATGGGAGCGATAGGAAGAAATATCATAGTTGCAAACACATTTGGATCTTGTGCATTACTCACAGTTCTTGTAATGGGTGGATTCATCTTATCACGAGGTAGACAGAATTTTGTATTACAAAGAATTCAGTACATACTAACCTAGACCTAAATTGTAGTAGTACTGAATTCTTCTGGTTTCCTAAAAACACTGATGTTTGTCCATCAGACGATATAAAAAGTTGGTGGATATGGGGTTACTGGTTCTCGCCTTTGATGTATGCACAGAATGCTATAGCAGTGAACGAATTTCTTGGAAAAAGTTGGGGCCATGTAAGCATCTTCTACATATTAGGAGTCTTGGAAGGAGAACATAAAAGAATGAGATGGAGAAAATTTAACATCACTCAAATATCTGTATTGCAGGTTCCTCCAGGCTCGACAGAATCAGTCGGGGTATCAGTCTTGAAGTCTCGGGGGATTTTTCCGGAAGCACGTTGGTACTGGATTGGCTTAGGAGCTCAGATTGGATATATTTTCCTGTTCAATTTCTTAGTGATCTTGGCTCTAACTTATCTCAACCGTAAGTATTCTCTATTTGAATTCAAAGTCAATATGGCTTAAACATGTTGAGGAAATATGTATGTTTGATTCAGCATTCGGAAAACCCCAAGCAATTTTATCAGAAGAAACTTTAGCAGAAAGAAATGGCAGCAAAAGAGGCGAAACTGTTGAACTATCATCCAGAACGAAAAGCACTTCAGGTGATAATTCATTATGTTCTATCGTGCTTAGAAGAAACTCTAGAGTTGTCTCTAATATTATAAATGCAGGACGGGAGATTGATTCTCGCCACAGTATATCATCAAGGTCAATGTCATCAAGAGTTGGCAGCATTAATGAAGCAGATCCAAACAGGAAGAGAGGAATGGTTTTACCCTTCGAACCTCTTTCACTCACTTTTGATGATATCCATTATGCAGTAGATATGCCAGAGGTATATTCAATATTTATTTGAATCTTCCAGTCTTATTGTTTTTCTTATTACATATTCTTGAATTCAAATTATGTTCTTTATAGCGTGTTTTCTGGGAAAGATCGATAGGACTGGACAATACCGATAAAGAAAAAGAAGCTAATATCTTGTTCATTATAGTCTCAAGTCCTATTCGAAACTGCATGCAAACCAGCACCAAGAGTTTCATATGATCTTATATTTGCATTTTGTTTCCAGTGTCCCATTTATATTACTAACATGTACTCTGTCCATCCAACATATTTTAATCATGTTTATGCTTGCAGGAAATGAAAGCTCAAGGAATTGAAGAGGATCGACTAGAGCTTTTGAAAGGTGTCAGCGGTGCATTCCGGCCAGGAGTTTTGACGGCTCTGATGGGCGTTAGTGGGGCTGGAAAGACGACTTTAATGGATGTGTTGGCTGGTAGAAAAACAGGTGGATATATTGATGGAAGGATCACGATATCAGGGTACCCAAAGAAGCAAGACACGTTTGCACGCATAGCAGGCTACTGCGAACAAACTGACATTCACTCTCCTCATGTTACAGTGTATGAATCCTTGCAGTTTTCTGCATTGCTTCGTTTACCTCCAGAAGTCAATACTGCAACACGAAAGGTTGTCTCCATATTAGCACACAGTACTTGCAAAACAGTTTTGGAAGTTCTGTCATTTCATTAATGTTATAACTCACCCCAAGTTATTAAATAAATTTCAGATGTTCATTGAAGAGGTCATGGAGTTAGTCGAGCTTACTCCATTGAGGGAAGCACTCGTAGGGTTGCCTGGAGTGAATGGTCTTTCAACCGAGCAACGGAAGAGATTAACCATAGCAGTGGAGCTCGTAGCCAACCCGTCCATTATTTTTATGGATGAGCCAACCTCGGGGCTCGATGCTAGGGCTGCTGCCATTGTAATGAGAACAGTGAGAAACACAGTGGATACAGGTCGGACTGTGGTATGCACCATCCACCAACCTAGCATCGACATATTTGATGCTTTTGATGAGGTTAGTATACGCTATAAGCTCTGTGATTCCTCTCCTAAGCTAATAAAGAAAACTAAAGCCCTACTACAAACAATTGCAGCTACTACTACTAAAACGTGGAGGCGAAGAAATATATGTTGGGCCATTGGGAAGGCACTCATCTGAGCTCATCAAATACTTCGAGGTGACATAATTAGCAAATGACTTTTTAAAAAGTCATAACATTGATTCAGCTATGATGTTTATCTAATTCGATTTCACCCCTCCAGGGAATCGATGGAGTCCATAAAATTAAAGACGGTTATAATCCAGCAACATGGATGCTAGAGGTAACTTCAACAGCACAAGAAGCAACTCTTGGAGTTAATTTTGCAGAACTGTACAAGAGCTCAGAACTACACAGGTACTTAAGTAAATTTAAGTAATTTACTCAATTACTTAAAATTGATTTGTTTACTTCTTGGGTGGATAAATCAGGAAAAACAAAGAATTGATCGAGGAACTCAGTAAACCATTTCCTGGTTCAAAAGATTTATATTTCCCTAGTAAGTATGCACAGTCTTTCCTCACCCAATGCATGGCTTGCCTTCGGAAACAGCACTGGTCATATTGGCGAAATCCACCTTACACTGCAGTGAGACTTCTATTTACAACGTTTATAGCTGTAATGTTCGGAACCATATTCTGGGATCTTGGATCCAAAAGGTAAACAGATGTTAAAAGTTAAAACTGATCCCTCAGTTATTCTGATTCTTTCTCAGAAAAAGCAAGCCGTTGACATATTTGTATACATGATTTTAGGCAAAAGAAGCAAGATCTCTTCAATGCCATGGGTTCCATGTATGCTGCTGTTCTATTTCTTGGTGTACAAAATGCTACATCAGTGCAGCCAGTAGTTGCTGTTGAGAGAACGGTTTTCTATAGGGAAAGAGCAGCAGGGATGTATTCCGCTTTGCCCTATGCTTTTGGACAGGTACTTGCTAATGATTCTAGTGGTTGTTTGTACATGCTAGTCCCGTCCAAATGCTTAGCAAACATGCTTCTATAGTGTAAGATGATGCAGGGATCTGGTAACAAGAAATGGTTACGCTAACATATATCGACTCTGCAAAAAATAGACTTCGGTTCCTTGGTTAAATAAAACTTATAAGAATCATAGGAACAAATCCTCATGATATCACTTGGCGTGCAGGTGGTGATTGAACTCCCGTACCTATTCTTTCAAACGCTTGTTTATGGCTTCATAGTGTACGCCATGATTGGATTTGAATGGACTGTTGCCAAGTTCTTTTGGTACCTCTTCTTCATGTACTTCACCTTGTTATACTTCACATTCTACGGGATGATGACAGTGGCCGTAACACCTAATCATAATATAGCTGCTATAGTTTCATCGGCATTCTACGCATTATGGAACCTTTTTTCAGGATTCATCATTCCAAAGACGGTAAATTTCTTACCATATCTTGAACAAAATATAATAATATCCAACCCCACCTATTAAAATTCATTCTGTCTGGTTTTTTTCACAGAGAATCCCGGTGTGGTGGAGATGGTACTATTATATATGTCCAATTTCTTGGACATTGTATGGATTAGTTGCTTCCCAATTTGGAGATTTCCAGGATGAGCTTGAAGGAAATGAAACAGTGGAGCAATTTTTAAGAAGTTACTTCGGATTCAGACACGACTTCGTGGGATACGTTGCAATAATTATAACTGGAATATCAGTCCTCTTTGGCTTCATCTTCGCATTCTCAATAAGGGCGTTTAACTTCCAGAAAAGATAATCCTTTCTTGACGTGTCTATTAAAAAAGGTTGGGCCATTTTGATAAAGATTTCGGTTTTTAATTTTATAGTTATAGTCTATATCAGAGGCTATTATCGATGCAATAAGTACAAAAAGAGTGATGCTACATGGCCCGGCTCAATGACCAGACCAAAATACAGGTGCCGAGGTGGCACCATACAATTGGAGGGGGAGCGACCGAAGTCAACCCCCCTCCAATAACAGGTGGCGCCCTCTCAAATGTCCCGGTCATTGAGCCGGGACATTTAGCATTTTCGGTACAAAAATAGGAAAAATGCAGCTTTTAGATCTTGTAATTAATTTAAGATCATTTACGAAAGGCGAATTTTTCAAAATAGCCCTCGTGTAATGTTAACGGTATCAATGTCTGCTTCTAATTTCTTTCGGATCAAATGTCTAATTTACTTTATTAAATTATTTTATTAGAAGAATATGTAGTTAAAAATAAGTTTGAATAAATGAGTGTTTGAATAATGCGGCTTAAACGGGAGCTAAAATAGTTTCTCTTTTTTGTCTCTTCTTCCTCGCTTCTACTAACCACCCCATCACCCCTTCCCTTGCTGTGTCCCCCCAAACTCTCCTACTAAGTCTATGAGTTAGGGAGAAGCTTAAGAGTCTCAAGTAGGTCCAGGCAAAAAAATCGAAAAATCGATTAAATCGAACCAACTCGGGACGATTTGGTCTAGCAAATTAGTTCTAATCGGTTAATAGAAAACCACTAACATAATGGGTGGGTCGGTTATGGGTCAAGGCTCCAACCCAACTGTTAACCGATCCAACCTAACCCAACCCAATTATAATTTTTTTTCTTTTTTAAAGTCCTAGTTTTTAGTGCAATTTTTAGATTTCCCAACTTCAAATGTTTGTTTAGAGTTTCCAATTTTTATTATGTTGCATTTACAAGATTAAAGCCTGACTTAAAAATTAAATAAATCAAAAGTCAATACCTAATATTAAAACATATGCTCAATTATCTTTTCATCTTCTCTGTGGTCCCAAAAAGGTGAAAAGTGAAAACTATCAAAATCTAATTGTCCCATAGTTGATGGTGCTGTCCTTCGTCTCTACCGCCTCCTCTACCAGTTGTCTTTCCATTTATTGAATATGTATTCTTGACGTACTAGAGGTTCGACCGTATAGAGACAGGTAGAGCTTTCTAATGAAATATGATTCACATCTCCATGTATGATTGCAGGTGAAGGTGATTCAAACTGGATAATGGTTAATCTTAGTTTCTATCAAATGGGAATTCGGCCAGCAAATTGTGCTTAGGATGTTATTTATATGTTAAATGATGGTTGTTGGACCCATTTTAGTTATTGAATTTGGAATGGATGTTATGAGTAATATTTGTAAAATCTATTACTTATTAATTTTGCTTTAGTTATAGTTAATGAAACAATTTTTCAAATTTCAATTTTTAAGTACTTCAATTTTATTGATTCCTGACATAAAAATTAAAATTGGTGTAAAATTTGGTGCATTACTTTGAGTAAAATTGTGTGTTAATAACAAATTATGAATTTGCTCTGTTTACAACTTACAAGTTATGGATTTGTGTTAATTGCAAAACTGTATGTTAATAACAGGTTATGGATTTGTGTTAATTGCAAAAAGAAAAGAGTAGGTGTATTCAAATTGGGCCCAAAAGCTTTAAAGGTTTTTTTTTTTTAAATTCAGTTTAGGCAAAAGACGAAACCGATTCGATTAAGTTGGTTCGGTTTAAGAGCTTAATTGAGTCAGTTTGGGTTAGATTTTATCCGATTGGGGTTGAAACCGACCCAACTCGAACCATGCCCCGGTTTCATGGGGGTGTCTTTCTTCTTGACATAGAAAGAGATACCGTGCGACAATAGTCCGCTCCGTTAGACTTTTCCGCCTTCTCTTGATTGTTTCGAGATGAAATAAAATTTGATTACAATTTGTAGAAAACTTGCAACATAAAATTGAGATGTATTGAAAGTAAATTGATCATTGATTGCTTGAAAGCTCGAAATTACAATTGATAAAAGCAAGAAATTACAATGGCTAGTGCATGGTGCGAAACTTAGAAAGTTTGAAATTTTTTTGAAAAACTAATACCCCCTATAATAGCTTGCGGAACAAAAACCTAAGTGATGGGAGTATGCGTTTAAATGACAATGAATCATACTAAACATTTATCAATATCAGAGTTATTTTACAATTAAAACAAACTATTATAATGAAAATGAAATTACAACTCAAACTTGAACTAATATTTACAATGTGCTGTCGAAGTTGGGCAAACTATGGTTGTGATTGGGTCAATGGGTTTAAGTAAAAATGCGGTCCTTGACACAAAGCCTACTTAAGAGTCTTCCAAATCAAGTTTCCAATTAGGGACTATATTTCATTTTCTCTCCAACGTAATTGTTGTTCTGTAAACACTTAAAGCACCCCCCTTTAGCAAGCAGATTTTGAGGGTGAGTTTAGCTATTAGCCTATTACACTTGGTTTCAAAGCAACCACACTCTTAGGGGACCCTCGTTGTAGACGATCGACAAATGTCGGCTTTGTAGAGGGGAATATTTTGTCTCAATGGTGTCCTACATGCTCATGAAAGTTCCCTTTGTAGGTTTATTAACATTTTAGGCACCCTCATCTAACTAGCAGATTTTAAGGGTGAGTTTGGTTATTACACTTGGTTTCAAAGCAACCACTCTCTCAAGGGACCCTCATTGTAGACAATCGACAAATGTTGGTTTTGGAGAGGAGGAATATTTTGGCCCAATGGTATCCTACGTGCTCATGAAAGTTCCTCTTGTAGGTTTATTAACGTGTTAGGCACCCTCATCTTACAAGTGGATTTTAAGGGTGAGTTTGGCTATTACACTTGGTTTCAAAGCTACCACACTCTTAGGTGACCCTCATTGTAGACAATCGACAAATGTCGATTTTGTAGAGGAGAAATATTTTGGCCCAATAGTGTCCTACATGCTCATGAAAGTTCCCTTTGTAGGTTTATTAACATTTTAGGCACCCTCATTTAACAAGCAGATTTTAAGGGTGAGTTTGGTTATTACAACTTGGTTTCAAAGCAACCACTCTCTCAAGGGACCCTCATTGTAGACACTCGACAAATGGTCGTTTTGGAGAGGAGGAATATTTTGGCCCAATGGTATCCTACGTGCTCATGAAAGTTCCTCTCGTAGGTTTATTAACATTTTAGGCACCCTCATCTTACAAGGGTGAGTTTAGTTATTACAGTCAGGTATCAAAGGAAGAGCTCTCTTAGAGGACCCTCATTGTATACAAGTCGACATGGGGAGGGCTGCTTTCAATACAAGATATTTCCATAGCTGGGAAAAACAGGCCGCTGTGGATGCTTCTGAAAAGGTAACCCTTGTCGTTTATAAACTCCCTCATAATCAGATTTTAATGGTGAATTGAGAGCAAGTTCTACCCCAAGCTCTTGTTACATGGACACAACCTCACATCTTAGAGAAGAGTTGAAGTCTCTCGTTACAAAATCTGTACAGAAAGTATTACTAAAGAAAATAAAGCTCGAGTATTGCAAATCATCATGTGCCAATTAATTATTTCATGGAATAATTTGGCCCAAAAAAAAACATTATTTTACTTGCCATTTTAAACATCCCATTCAATTTAAACTGTGAAACACTGAATTTGATAGTATAAACTCACTTGAATAATGTTTTATAGACGTTGTACAAGTAACCTATACAAACTCTGAGTAAACAATAAATGTTAAAGATTTCCCACTGTTCGGCAATACTCTATACTTGACTTTGTTTCAACATTCTAATGTGCTCTTAAGAATCCATTATTTTATTTTTTTTATATATTTCATAATTAGGTGAACGTGTTAATTATCATTTATTAGTTTAATCTAGACTAGGAAAAGTATTTAATTGGAAACAATTTGTATAAGTGTTGTTATAATCTAATGCAGAAAACAACTTAAATATACAATTTTCAATTTATTCTATAAATAGGAAATAAATTAATTATCCAGCTGTCAATCTAATAAATAATAAAATACAGATTATGCCATTACTATTCTAATCGAATATATGAAAAACATTTAATATTTGAACAAAATAATTTTTTTTTCTATTTAGTTAGGAGTATATTTATTAAATTAAAATTATGACCGATCCACATTTTTTTCAAAATATATTTTTCAATAAAATAACATTACACACCATCCAAAAACTTTGTATTTTTCAATCTATTATTTTAAAATGTATTTTACACGAAAAAAAAAATGGAGCTTTCATCCTCTTTTTACTTCCGTGAAAAGTTATTAGTCCTACCCAATTGACCAATAACAAACTTAATCCAAAAAAATGAAAGGTTCGAAGTAACCTTTGCAAGAGCAAATTGACCATTTGAAGTTTAAGGCTAAAATTGTCATTTCCTGTTTCACCTACCCCAATAATGAGATCTAGAAGCTGCCAGCGAAGGATAAATTTTGCCAATTTAAAGGACTCAATCATAAATAAAATAAAAAAGAAGGACCTCTTATAATGTTGAGAAAGCAAGTATTCTATATCAATGACATTTTCAGCCCGCGACATACTTCCCCGTTTGGGCTCATTCCCAAAAAATTATTCTTCCCTCTCTTTTTATGAAATAATATTACACGTAAATCGAAAGAAAATTCATTCTTTTTTAACAACACATTCTCCAAAGAAATGTTATTCCAAAAATTATAATTTCAAATAATACGGGCCAAACGGAGGCTTAAAAGATAAACTTGAACCTTTGAAGTTTGAGAACAAAAATGTCATTTCAACTTGTTGCCACCACCCTAAGAATGAGATTCAGATAATCTGGAATGAGATTATGAGAAGAGAGAATTGCAATCGAAGTACCAAATATTTCATTTAGTAGTAGATTTTGTCCAAACCTTTCATTTATGCCGTCGTAGATACCAAACTTTCAAAAAATTCGCAGTTCAAGTCCAAAATGACGATTTTCATTAGTTT